GCATACGGCGTCGAATCGTACACACCACTGGAAGACAGAGCGACACGTAAGACCCACACACATTGACGCAAGGGCTGGAGTGCTGGAAATCTCTATATAAGGAGGGTGTATTCCCTCCACCTTCCATCTCCATCGTTCAAACACTCCATACATCCTCAAAACAACTATTTTCACCAAGCTCAGACCCCGTCAATTCCTCGACCTTCTCTGATCAAATTTCCCCTCCAACACTACCGCAAACTCACCAACCATGCATTTCACCACCACCATCACCGCCCTCGGCTTCGTGCTCTCAGCCGCCGCCGTCCCAGCCAGCCAGTCCTGGATTGTGGACCCCGCCGCCGCCACTGACGCCCCTGCCGTACCAGACAGCGGCAATCCTGTCGCCGCAGACGCCAACGTAGCAGCCGGTACGACTGGTGACGCCAACGTTCGCAACTACTGCGATTTTCCCGTGTATCTCTACGTGTGTGGGCAAGACCCGGCCTCCTGCACCCCAGAGTACACCCTTGCCGCCAAGACGGGCACGTATTCCGAGGTCTTCTCCACGCCCAATAACGGCCGCTCCATCAAGATGGGCACAACCTCCGGCGAAGTGGCCAAGCCCATCTTGCAGTTTGAGTACACTAACACTGGCTCCGGTCAGGTCGCTTACGATCTCAGTGAGGTCAATGGCAACCCCTTCGGCCCGTATGGATTCTTCCTCACGTCCAACAACAACGCCTGCTTCCATGAGGAGTGCCCGGCTCCGGGCACCCATGATGTTTGTCCCTGGGTGTTCACTACCCCGACTAACGGGCTGGTGTCGGATTGCCCGATTGCTAGCTCCATTGGCGTTACTCTCTGCGGTTGAGTGCAGAAGAGGAGTTGTATCCAGAGCTAAGCCCCAGGCTGAAAAGATGGGTTTGGCTGCTGGGAAACCAAAAGTGTCACCCGCTGCTTGACGGTGACGACTTCCTTTTCTGCCTGGAAAAATATGGCGAGATTTATGAACAGAATGCTTCTATATTTCCTTATCATCATTGTTTCCAGAGTCGCTACCAACGTACGTGCATGTATACCGCTTATTATCATTCTTCACACAGTCGCTACCGATGCACTAGTATTTCATTTTTATAGATAGACTAGATCAGTACCCAAGACAGACAAGACAATGTGTGCACGTAGCCTGAATGCAATACATACAAAATATAGAAAGTTACGTGCATTCAATTAACGTTGAAAAAAACAAGTTCTCGCCCATCCGATCATACGAAAACTGTAACTAAATTGGATCTTTAAAGCCAATTCGTCTAGATTCGCAAAATGAATCCCTAGGCAGATTTGAGAGGGATCTCGAATATTAAAGAAGTGAGAAATGGTCTACGCAAACGTCATACACGAAACAAGGAGAAGGGGTGGGGGTCGGAGTTTAGCAGATACCAGTGCGAGAATCGCAAACGAAGTCCTACATACAATTCAAGCGCGTTTCCAGAAAAGTAAGGTACCAACGACACCCACCCTTTCCGAAATACCCGCCGTCAAACGTGAGCGGAATTCACACCTCATACGCCCATCCCAGACATACGATCCGAAACCTCCGCTCCCTGCATCACTTTTCCCACACTCCTCACACCTTTACTCCCCCTCCTAGCAACCCCCCTCTCTCGAAAACCCGGACTCGAAAAGTCATAGACGACGGATGCTAACCGGGTGCACTTCTACGGAGTGCCAGGGTTTTGCGAATCGGCAACCTCTCGTTTCCTTTCTTACAAAGGTCTCACCGAATTCATACTGTAGGAGCGGGGTGGTTGGGATTTCTCGGGGTGGGTGAAGAGATTTTGTGATGGGTTTGGGCGAGGGAGGTGCGCAGATGGGGTTTGACTTGATTGGATTTGAGGTTTAGGAGGGGATCGGAGTTGGGATGTTTTTGGGAGTTCGGGTACGAGAAGGTAGAATGCACAGTTAGATATCAGACGTCGGGATTGGCATCTATGACAGAGATGAGGGTTTCTCATGTTCAGATCTTTCAGTGCGAGAGGTGCGAGCGGGGATTGGTTCTAATTGTTCGATTGATTGATTTGCTCTGCTATTTAGCAGAAAGACGCGCCCACACATTCAACCTAGAGTCTATGAAAAAACCTCGACGGCATGCATGCAGAAACTCAACAAGACCACTTGCCGCCCGTCCTTTGTGCCGATACACGGCACCTACACCCATCTTCCAGTCAAACCACTACCTCGTCCGGAAGAACTCCCCTATCGCCTTCTCTGTCCTCTCGGTCTTCTCATCTGCGCCAGTAAACCTTGCCCGTACTGGCCGTAGATCTGACTCTTCAGACTAGGCAAGTCCGGTGTTTGACCATGGGCAAGGTTGGGTATATATGTAGCCGGATGTGGCGGCTGGATCATTGGAGTGACTGAGGGAGCATTGGTGGAGGCTTGCGGACCACCGACTGTGCCTTGGCCAGGGTTCAAGGTCTGTGCTCCTGAAGTCCCGGCCTCCGCTTCAGATTCATTTTCTTCCTCGTCGGATCCAGTCTCTTCCTCGTCAGATTCAGTCTCTTCCTCGGATCCATTTCCTTCCTCCAAAGCCCCATTCTCTTCGGAAGCTCCACGGTTCTCCGTAAGTCTACCACCATTTGGAAGCCCCATCGGGTGGGTGGTGCGTGGTGTGTTAGAGAAAGACCCGGTCGGATCTTGGTGTATGGACGTATTGGCAGCATTTTCGCTGTCTTGATCTAACAGCGACCACAAGTAATCCCCTCGATCAAGACATTCGAGCGCAGATTTTCTATCTCCTGGCATTAGCCTCAACATATGTTGTCCCACAAGGTAGTTGAGGTTGTTCTGCTTGAGGCCGTCGGATCCTATGGCTTGGAAATTGTGTTTGTAGTTCTCAAAGTAGGCAATAACAGCTTCACACCATTCAAGACCTGCATTGTCTTCGTAGCCCGCAGGCCTGCTGGCTGTTGAAAGTAGGACAACGATCACTCCGAGCGCCCATATATCTACTGCAGCGGTAAGTGGTTCGTTTGCGGACATCTCCGGGGCCATGTAGATCTGCGTTCCTGTGCAAATCTTGAGAACGTCCACATCATGAGTCAAACCAAAGTCCGCGAGTCTGAAATGAGTTCGAGAGTCGCACAGGATGTTTGTGGGCTTAATATCCCGGTGTATCATTTTCAAACTGTCGTGAAGATAGACGAGTGCGTTCAACATCTGACGAACCATGAGCCCGGTTTCCTGGATGGTGAATGGCATAGTTTTGTATTGTTCTTCCAAGTTTCCTCCGGGAGCGAGCCCCATGACTAGATACGGCCTGTCTCCTAGCCTGCAATCGATGAATTTGACGATGTTCTCCTGTTTGATGAGTTAATTAATTCCTGACAAGAAGAGGCGCTGTACTTACGTGAGGAGTGTTGATGAGTTTTCGAAGTACGCCAGCCTCCAAGGTCCAGGCGCTTTTGGTTTTGAATGCTTTCATTGCCGCTGTTCCCCCATCAGGCATTGAACGTACTTTATGTACCACGCCGAAACCACCGTTGCCCAATTTCTTGGTCCGAAGGTAGAATGGCGGCTCCACCGCTGTGTGAGCAGTCGCTGCTCCGCTCGCTAGTCTGGTATCTGGCCGGCTCGTGAAATTTAGCAGGCTCATTGTGTGACTGGCGCTTTTAGCAAACTTCATGAAATTTCGGCAATTAGCTTCATAAGCGGCCTTGCCCGTTCCATGGGTAGGTACGATAACTCTGAAGGGTATCATTTTGGAAGCCTTGACATAGATGTTTTTCTGGTCAGGCGGAAAGGTCCAGATGAAGTTCCTACGCGTCCCGGTCTGTCCGCCGTAGGTGACTACCGTTTGATTCCTTGATGTGGATTCCATGATAACCTCATTGTATTGGTTGAAAGAAATCACGAACATCCGGTGGCTGATGTAGTCATCTTGAGAACCTAAGTATACGTCGCATACCTCACGGTCGCTGCCGAGAAGATACCCCAATTCAGGGTTCTTTGGCTTTTTGGTGAAGGTAATCTGCAGTGCTGGCTCGGAAAGCTTGATTTGACCAGGTTCATCCGAATCCGGGGTAAGCGCCCGAAACAAATCATTTGGGTCCACAACCTCCTCTCGAAAGCCTCCATTCGTGGCTCGGGACACAGGAGGGAGATAGAATGCTTCATTCTGTGGATCTGCCCATATCTCATGTGCTCTATGACCGTAAGCCTCCAGTTTGAGTATGATGTTTGGGTCGTTATCGAATTCCATGTTTATTGACTTGCTGATGTATGGCTGTCGCTGGTAATGTTGAACAAGCCGACAGCAGCAGGCTTAGGGTCTGAGGTCAAGCAACAAGTCGTAAACGGTGTTGAGACCCGTGTGCAGAGCAAATCTCGTCAGAGACTGTAGTAACACAGAACTTGCCACCGTGATAAGAGATAAGGGGTACTGCGTGGAGCTGGAAATCACCCCAGTCGAGGGAGACGAGAAGGCTGGTGTGCTTGAAATGAAAAACGCCTGCTGTAGAATCTGTAATGCTTGAGGGATGTTGTAACGAGTGTGGACTTTGAGGAGGTTGTGTAGGAGAAATGCCAAATGGAGCTCAGCAGCCGGGGTGAACTACCCGCGCTAAGATGTCTGGAGACGAGGAGTCCCCTGTGTATGAGCGAGTTGATTTTGTGGTTGACAAGTCATGCAAGGTTGAAGGTTGAGTTTGGAGTAAAATTTGGAGAGAGGAATGACTTCTTAAATAGACAAATCTCTCAACACTCAATACGTTCTCAACAACCTACATTATCTATGTATGAAAACTCAAATCATTGACACATAGAAAGAGGTTGAACACTAAGCCAAACTAGACCATAAAAAACGGTAAAGAATACCGTTCCGATCAAATCTGATCCAATAAGGTATCCTGCTTTAGAAACTGTCACAGGATGGACTGAGATTCACAACACAGAGCCACTAGTCCTGGTTGGGCCTTAGCGCGCCTTGGCACACCGCTTTCACAGTACCTAAGGTCGACATGGACCATCAATCATACACACCACAACCATATTGCATACTTACCGTGGCAGAAAGGCTACTACCTATTGTCGGACTATCAGGACAGCTGGACTCATTCTTCCAGTGCGCTAACAATCGCACGTCTTCTTTGTCAGCCCCCTGAAGTAGTACAATAGCAGCTTGTGGTGTGGTGAAGCTTCAACATTCCATGGTGACCCTTGAATACTCAGGCCCTTATCAATTCACAATCTTCGAGCCAAAATGTCTATAGCGTCACTGTCTCCTCAGCCAGCAGGCTCTGCGCACTCTTCTAGAGCCGGCTCGCCTATCTACATTGGTCGCACACCTTCAAAGAACGCGATTGACCCCGAAGCGCTCGAACGAAGGCTAAGGCAAGATCTCTTAAAGAGCCTTGCTTGTGATGATAGCTGACGGTTACTTATAGGAACATCACTCCCCATCCAGATGAGTGTGTTGAGAGATGGAAAGTAGAAGTCCAGCGCGATTATGACCAACTAATCGCATTGGGTGGACGGCCTACTCGTTCTATAAGACCACAATTCATCTGGAAAGTCACTATCGTGGATGGCATGTTTAGTTACAGAGACGAAGATAATAAAACTGATGTGACTCAGGAGGTGGATGTGACCTTGGATGAAGAGGGTCTTGCACATACCCACTGGAGTGAGGAATGGGCTAAATGGGCGGAAGAATTGAGGCGGTGGCAGAAGTTCAAGGAAGACCAGCAGAGGCACAATCAACTTGGTCGATCGGAGACGGATTTGGAGCTCGAGAATACGGACGTGGATTTGGTTGAGGTATTGTCCAAGTTAGACGACTGGCAGTTATTTGAATTCGTCCAACAGAAAAAGGTTCATGATGCGGAGAGGTTTCATGAACAATGTCAACAAGAAATTGCGAGACTTGAGGATGCAATGGTCACTGCAAGGGCTGCAAAACCAATGCGAGCAGTCGAAGAACCGCATGGGGGGTGGATGTGGCAAATGGAGACACTGCAAAAAGAATTAGAGGCTTCCCAAGAAGAACTGATGTGGGTTAAAAGTCAGTGGACGGAGGTGCTAGCAGAAGCTAGTCATTCGATTGCCGCATCGCCGAAGCTTCAAAAACAGTTAGAAGAGAAGCTTGAGAAGCAGACCAACAAGATATACCGCCACCTACAGCAAAGGGAAGCCAGACCGAGCAATGCGGTTCATCGTCCCGATACCACGGCTGACTTCCCTCAGAGACTTCAACATTGGATCTCGGAAAGCTCCGCCATTACCGCCGAACTGTGGGATTGGAGGATCTTCATGGCTTGGCGACGAAATGTAAAAGGCGCTGACACTAAAAAACAGGAGGAGCAGAAGCAACCTTTTCAAGTTGACGCAGATGCAAAGCTCTTTGAGGACCTTGTGAAATATTGCCAGTACGAACTTGATAAAGCAAGCAGCTGGGTCTACTCTTGGCGCTGTCGAGCGAGTCACTACGCGGGAGCGAAGAAGAGCACTGCGCTACAAGAGAGAATAGAATCTCTGCTTGCAGATGACGAAGACGACGATTATCAAGAAGCACGAGCATATGCCTATGCGCAACCTCAAGTCACAGAATCTGACCAGGCAGAAATCTATGCGAAGCAGGCGGAACAGAAGGTTTCGGACGCTGCGAAGCGACTCGAGCGAGCTCAACAACAATTGCAAAATATTCTTGCACGTCGTGACCGACCCTCCACGGGTGAAATACCAGCGGAAGACTCGGAAGCCCAACTACCACCTACACCGGCACAATCACAGTCTTCTAAGGGGAGTCTTCCCAAGAATCAGAAACCTTCGAATAAGAGTAGCACCGCTGGAAAAGATCATCGGCGATCGAAGAAGAAGGAAGCAAGGAAAAGGGGAGCCAACTTAAGCAACACCAACACACAACAGCAGACCCTTCCAGACTTTTCTTCCGGTTCAGATCAATTCAAAATAGACGATGATATCGAGATGTCAGACGTCCTGGAGGACACAATCATGTCAGATAGCAAAGATCCTCCCAATCACATCCCACCATCTTCATCGAAACTTATCACACCGCCCTCGTCCAGCCCCCATGCTTCGACATCGAGGAAGACTCGCTCTTCTACAAAACTTAATCAGCCTCTCTCTGATAAGGTCTCCAAGAAGATGAACACAAACAAAAAGCCGACCAAAAAGTTCAAGGGCTTTACAGAACTACAAGTCACGACATTGCTGAACGCTGCATCGACCAGCCGTCCTTGCACCAATTCTATTGCACCAAGGAGAAGTGAACGGCTCAAAGAGAAAGCTGCAATCTCAAAGAGGAGGGTGTGCACATAATCTGAAATGGAAGAAAAATTGGCAATCTCAGAAAGGAGGGTGTGCATATATTCTGCAATAATACACTCTTGTTCGATAGTTGAAAAAGATCATTTATTTAGGTTGAATCGATACACATCTAACGTTTGAATCCTGAGACAGCTATCGAATACCTAGTAGAACAACTTTCAAATACGTTACCTTGAAACCTTCACGAAAGTTCGACCCGAGACTATCACATATCATTCCAAGTCGATCCGACTCTGAACCCAGTAGTACTCCTCCTACCACACTGTAAAAAGCGCAAGATACCTGCAAAACTTGACAAATCTCCCAACACTTGACTACGCGAGTTCCCTTGCTCATCTTCAACTGCCGTAGTTCCTTTGCTTTCCATCTAAAACCCGACTTCGCTCCCAAGGACAAACAAAAAAGTCAATCCGAGGCCGAAACACCGCCAGATCTCGCTGCAGAGTGGAAGTGAAAAGTTCAAAAAACCCACCAGCCTATTTGACCGCACGACAGCCGAAGGAAGAAATTGCTATTGGTGGCGAAGTATCTTGACCTATGGGATATGCACTCAGGTAGATCACAAGTTACAGCCAGATTGCTAGGTCGAACGCGATCTCAGTTGTGTCCTGAACAAAAAGCCCCAGAAACCAAACAAAAGTACCAAAATTTGGACCGTCCTCTGCCCAAATCGAACCCAACTACCCAGTCCAATCAGGAATCCAAAATAGAAAAAAAGATTTCACATCGCTGCCTCTCCGTAGAGGGGGTGCGACGCTGCAGGAAATTTTTTCAGGCTCGTGGAGAAATTGTCAGTCATTGCCATCTTTTCGCTTTCGGAAAGGCACATGTAGAGGAAGGGCTCGCTTGACCTTTGAAGACGTGGCCCGTGTGTGGGGTCTCTGGGTGGCTACTCCTCCACCAGGGGGTGCAAGAAGTGAGTAAGGTAACTAGGGCCGGATTTGGACTGCAACCGAGGCCTCGAGGAGTGGGAGGGTATTTTTCTGAAGGAAATCTAGGCTAGAGTAGATGAGATGCCTTTCATGGTCGGGGATAGACATACGCTTGTAGGCACGGTTGGTTTTCATGAATTTCTTTGTTCAAGTACTACTCCAGTTCTCTAAGCAACATCGCATGACTTGCTAAAAAAGAACCCGCAGTTGCCGCTTCGTCCATCAAATCATTCTGAACCTGGAAAGGATGCCTTTACTGTGAATTGGACGGGCTCTTGGTCCTTAGACTTATCTCAGCGCAGGATACTCAATAGCCTTTCCTTACTGTTTTCCGGAGATTATCGTGCTTGTCTCCCAGTGCCAGTCCATAGCTAAGCGGCTGTGGATCGTCTGGCCTCAATGTGTGTGGTGGCACTGCAGTCTTAGATCCGTTGGACCCTTGCCCTTTCAAGGCCACGGTCTCCTCCACACCCGGGTCGTAGGTTGCCGGTGACGTGTTATTGCAGTACATCGGGGCTCTTGCGTGTGATGATTTAAGGACCGGATTGGCGCGAAGCTCTGGCTCAGTCTGAGCCTCACCACCAGAGTACAAGGAGGACCATTCATTCTCTGACTCGGACGCCTTTCCAATGTCCGAATGTGTAGGGATCCGTTTTGCCTCTTCGTTGACCTTAAGGTCGACCGAAACCCCACTACGTTGCTGACCTACATCTTTTCGTTGCCTTTCCAACGCTAATCCCAAGCCGGACTGTATCTGTGAAAAAACGGGAGCATTGAGACACTCCTGCGCTGACAGTCTCTTTTTCGGATCATACTTGAGCATGAAGTTCGTGATGAATCCCCACAGCATGGTCTCCAACGTATTTTTGTTCCTCTCGCAGCGTTTTTGATCTGCGAAAAAAGAGAAAGAAAAATTCTGCCTCGTTGTAAGGATAACGTCCTCGCACCACTGTGGCCCTTGCAAGTAACCTCGGCTGGGCTTGGGTATGCGTCCTCCCAGAAGCAGTTGCAAGATGACGACGCCCAAAGACCATATGTCAACTTTTGAGTCGTATTCTTGACCGAATACCTCAGGGGCCTGGTAAAGCCAAGTACCGGCTGAGCCTTCACACTTAGTGCCTTCTGTTGCCAGGCCAAAGTCCGCAATCTTGATCCAGGGCCCGGGCTCTCCAGGGTTTGTCGTGCGTTCACGATCTGCCACTAAGATGTTTTCGGGTTTGATGTCCCGATGGGTTACGCAATTCGGGCTCGCATGTAAGCTTGCGAGCGCACGAAGAGACTGTGCCAGGATGCTAAAAACCTGGATCGGCTGCCAGGGAGATCGGTCATTCAACCGCCATGGGCGACTCAAATTCCCCCTGGTTGTGGTTCGAAAGTCAGCATATCCTTCTCGTAATCCGGTCTCAATTCGTATGAGAAGTCTTGGGAGTAGACAAAGGGAAAAATTTCTTTGCCCCTTAGAACAGGTATTTCACGGCTCAGATTCCGATATTGAACAGGAACAGATTGAACCGCAAGGTACACGTACTCTTTGAGATACTCCGTGACCAGAAGAGGGCCGTCATCATTGGACAAGGCCACGTATCCGAGGATGTTCTCCTGTCGAGATCATTAACTGCTTTCCAAAGGTTCTCCATATAGCCCGTCCCTTATTATCTCTCGTTTGGCTGGTAGCCAGTACAAAACTCCAGCAGGGTAATGGGAAAGACGATGTGACTTACGTGGTTCTGCTTGGCCAGGATATCTGGCTCGCTTCGCTCGAAGTCCCCGAAGAACGACTTGCCTGCGTACTCGAATCCGGTGCTCACGTCCACGACAACATCAACTTTTCCAAAGGATCCACGTCCAAGCTCTCCCGCTTCACGCCGGTAATAGAAAGGCTGCGTCTTTGGTGTAGACACTAGGCTAGTGTCTGCAGTCGTTGCCTCACTGTCCACCAAAAGAAGCGGTAGCGATGGCATTGAGTCCTCGACGTCCTTGAGAAACCGAGCAAATAGCCCTCGGGACAGCTCTGTCTTGGCGCCGTGCTTCGCCACTATGACCCGAAACTCGAGCTGGTTGGCCGAAGTAATAACAATGCTCCGGCACTCTGGTAACATGATCCAGATAAACTCCCGTCGTTCCCCAACCTTTTGAGAGTTGTACTGGACCTTCGTCCGGTTTGTGTTCTTGATATGCTTCAAGATCACGTCGCCTTGCTTGCTTATCGTAATCAAGAACGTCTGCCTGCCGATGTAGTAGTCGTTTTTTCTGTCGTGTTCACCACAATACACATCGCACAAATTTTGATCGCTGCCAAAGGTCCAACCTTTGCTGACATTCTTTGGGCGACTGTCAAAGGTTATCCTAAGTTCAGGCTCGCTTTCTTTGACATGACTGTCGCTGTCACTGTCCTCCTCGACTGGTGTGGACTCGCGGCTTGTTTCTCCATGTACTGGGAAGCCTCGAAATGAAGCCGGCACATAGAAGTGTTTGTTGTGTGGGTGGGCCCAGGCTTTCCGTGTCCTCTCATTCAGTGCCACCAGTCTGGCTACAATGTTGGGGTCGTATTCATCCATCACAACTTATAGTCCCTAGTCAAGTACGGATATACGTAACGCAGACCCGAGTATGGTTGATGTTGGCAGTTGCTGGCGGTGGTTGATGTTGCTTTGTCAAGATGGCAGATGTGTGGAGCCTATGTGCAAACTGGCACAACCTGAACTAGGCGGCAGCGGAATGTGTATCGAGAATATGCACCAACGAGAAGCTCATTGAATCGCGGGCGTGATAGCGAAGTGGTTTCCAGTGCTGCAGACTTTGACTGCTTGATGTTTGCTTGCCGAGATTGCACTTGGAAAGGGAGACATCTTGGTTTGGGGGCTGAGGGGTGAGAACAGGAGATCAGCAATAGAAGGGTCACGGGGTTCCACAAATTGGGGGATGCACGAGGATAACACAAGCGGCATTGCTTCGTATGCAGCTTCGGCTGCTAATGCTCTCATGCACGATGTCGGATGGTGTGGGAGTGCGGACGTTAATTATGGCACATGATAGACAGCCTTGAAGCTTGAAGAGCGTTTTCAAATTTCCAAGGCAGAAGATTTTCAAAGGCGGAGGGTTTTTGTATATATATTTTGAGACAAAAGGAGCTGTTGGTACTCAGAAAAAATACATTGCTGAGCAAGTCAAACCTTATTCAATGCCTGTACATTTGGAGGACCTGTGGTCAAACACAAATCTCTTCTCGTACTTACCAAGCCGACTAATCGGAAGTAAATCTTTGTAACTTCAATTCATTCTTGAACCAATCCCAGCTGGCTGTTCCGGGCTTAGTCAGCCTTCCTCACCCCTCTATCTTGTCCACCCCTTCTTCTTCTTCTTCTTCTTCTTCTTCTCCAGCAACGACGCGGGAGCAGCAGCTCAACGTACGGCGTCATGGCTTACATTTCGATTGCTAATGGCTCCAAAGGCCCTCAGACCATAATCGATCCAGACGCGCTAGAGATGAAGTTGACGTGAGCTTTCTGTTCCGTGTCATCGAAGCGCTGCTTCTCTTCCCTGACGCATATTGATCTACAGGCATGCCGCTCCATACAGAGAAGTCTCTCCATTTGATGAAGAATTTACCGAAGACTACAAGCGCCATGCCTACAATTATCATGACACGCTGATCGAAATGGGGGGAAGACCGACTCGGCCGGTGCTAGAGAAGCCAGCTGGGAATGCAGTATACGAGAAAGACGAGATTCGCATCATGGACAATCATGGAGGATTCCAAGGTACCATCGCGATTGACGAAAACCTTACACATCACCACTGGACTGAGGAATGCGATCGTTTCTACAAGGAGTTGGAACGATGGAAGGAGTTCCGGGATCATCAGCGAGATACAGAAGATCAACCTTTGTTGAAGACCGCCATCGACCCAGAGAATACGGACCAGCGATTAGTGAAGGTATTGGTCCGATTGAATGACTGGCGGGAATTTCAACATTACCAGCAAGTGAAGGTTGGCCGTGCGGCGATGTTGACGTGGAAAGTCACGCGAGCTCTAGAGAAGATCGCGCGTAAAGAGGCTGTATCTGACGAAGCTACTTCAAGCCCGAAAACCCAATATACAATTGACACCTGCCTTGATCAGCTCTTTATACGACAACAGGGTTTAGAGACTTCGGAAATGCAGCTCACATGGATCGAGAGCCAAATTGCTGAGATACTCTCAGAAGCTTGTGCTTCACTACAGGCTACTTTTCCTCTTCAACGACAACTTGAAATGAATTTAGAACAACAGGCCAATGCTTACCACCAGAAATTGGAGGCTTTGGAAGCCAGGCCGGATGCTTCAGTGCGGTCCCCTCACCAATCTGCAGGCTTTGCCCAGAGGCTCTGCCATTGGGGCTCCGAGATTTGTCGGCTTATGAAGGAATTATGGGAATGGAAGATCTTCTTGAGATGGCGAAAAACCAAGCCGTTTACATCTCAAACAGGGACCCACGAAGAACAGGAATCAAGTGGACGCTCATCAGATTTACAGATCTGGGTAGACTACGTTGCTTATCGACGATACCAGCTTGACAGGACCCAAAGTTGGGTCGCAAGCTGGCAACGCCTACTGAAGTCAAACGAGGACGACATGGAGACTGCTTCGAAAGGCCTGGCGTTACTCGTCCTTCAAGATAGCACCGCAACGGTACGAGCAAATGTAAAGAAGTTTCAACAAGACATTCACACCGCCGAATTTCGACTTCGATTGGCAGAGCAACAGTTAGCCGAGCTTTCCTCGCACGAAAGCTCTTCGGCTCCAGCCCAGGTCACGCAACAAAATACCGGGCATCCGCGATTGCCGCCAAGCTCGCTAGAATCAAAATCACCTGAGAGTATCCCTGGGGATCTCAAACTCACAGACTTGGGCAGCTCCCCTACAAAAGTCCATCGATTGAGTGGGTCGACCAATTCACCCATCAGTGGGATCCCAGGTTCGGTTCAGCCGTCGAAGGGCAAAATCAACGAGAAACAGCCGGTCACTGTGGCCGATGTTCTTGTTCCAAATCAAGTCATCCTTGATGATGCCATTCAACTGACAGACACCGCTGAAAACTCGTACCCACACGAGGCGTTCGGAGAACACGAAGGAGCAAGATCCGTAGACATTTGGAGGAGTAGTGTCGAAGGCACTCTCATGAGTGATATCGAAGACCCGGTCACTACTAGCCCGCCTCCTGCATATAACCTGAGCATCAAGGGTCGCGGTTCTAGGGCAAAAAGGAAATCGCGCTTGCCTGTTGATCAAGTGCCAACATCAAGAAAAACTCGATCTGCTACAGAGCTCGATCACGATACCTCTGACAGGGTTCTGAAGGATACGGACAAGAAGTCGGTCAGAAAGAAAAAGGGGTTTTCAGAACGGCAGACCATGGCGTTACTGAGTACTGCATCAACCAACGGCTCTTCTACCGGGTCTTCGCCATCGCTCAGAAGAAGCCAACGGCTCAAGGAGAAAGCTGCGGCCTCGAAAAGGAAGGTGTGTATATAGTTCTAATGCAATATCTTCAAGACTTAGAAGATCATTTTCACTCAATAAACTCAACATAAGATCTTACAGTTGTGAGAAGATTTACAGGAGAAGAATGAACTGGATTTGTAAAATCTTTCCCTTTGTTCACGACTTCTAATCCATTTTCTGAGTCTCAAACATAATTGTATCTGACATGGGTCGAATGGTACAATTGATCCTCACAGATATGCTCTACCAAATATCCTTCGCTAATGTTCAAAGTCTCTCTATGCAACAGCGCTCGCTTCGCTAACAACCAGTCTTGCAGTTCCACCTCAATCCATAAAATCCTAGAAGAATGCTCGCTAATGCACAAGCGCTCTCTATGCAACATCGCTCGCTTCGCTAACAATTCAAGTTTCGCAGTTATAGACAATACTCTCAAAGCCTTCCAAATGCGGAAGAATGTTTTCACGGAAAAACAAGTGGGGTATCATGAACAAAGCCGTGTCATCTGCGCCATGCTTCCCGAAATTCCCACACATCCAGTGTTATAAACACCAAGCCCAAACACCGTGCGAACCCAAGATGGTCCCTCTTAAAAACTGAAGTACTGACTGACTAAGCATCCACTTGCTAGATTATGGCTCTCTCGCAGGGTGTCCATCCAGACTGCTGTTCCGGCTCTGTGGCATCGGCAGCCCTCATGGAGTCCGATGCGCAGGAATCGACACTGACGGTTTGCTCCGCTTGTGGTTCTTCGCAGAGGAACTTGCATCGAGTCCAGCAGCCGCATCTTCGCTACCCGAACGGTCAGGCGCCAGTGGACCCGGTGTCACCGATCCATCCTTCTCACCGCCCTCTGCCGAAGACTGGCTGTCGCGCCGACGCTTGATGCCTCCATCGGAGATGGAGCGTGTATGGTTCCTTGGTTTTGACAGGGACGGGAGGCTGGGAAAGACGCGGGCCGGGCCATTGAGCATTCCTCTGCTGATGGATGAGGGACCGGTGACGTTGGGGTCGTTGATCGTCTCTCCGCCAGATGGAGGGTGGTAAGGAGCGCTGGCCGGGTTGTAGGCACTGTCTCCGCGAATGGCTGTTTTGGCCTCGTTGCGGAAATCCTGAGGTTGCCTTCCCCACTCGGGCGTTCCTTCGCCATCCCTATGGACATTCCTCGATGTCTCTTCCTCTGCCTCATCACCTTCTGGACTGCCCGGTGATTTGGGCGAGAAAGAGCCGTTTGGATGTGCGTTTGTTGGAGTGTTGGCTCCACTCCCGGCGTCCGAATCTTCGCTGCCACCTTGGTCTTCCCACAGATACGAGTAGTGCCTCACACATCTTCGCGCTGATAGTCGTTCGTCTGCATCCAGACGCAGCATGGCATCTTTCACCAGACGTATGAGTTCGAAGGCGTCACTTCCGCTCATGTCTGGTGATTGCTCGCACTGGTCGTGGTATCGCGTGAACTTGTGGAGTACGCCTTTGCACCACCTTCGCCCATCCGTGCGTGGATTTCCACGTGGAAGCTCATCCATACACTCAAACAGAACGACTCCAACTGACCAAATGTCCGCTTGGTAGCTATAAGGTGCCCAAGCGTGGACCTCCGGAGCCATATACTCTGCGGTTCCTTGCTTGCTTGGCAAGGAAGTGATATCTCTCGAGACCCCAAAATCCGCTAGCTTGTAGTGATTTGGAGTCACGCAAAGGATGTTCGCGGGCTTAATATCCCGATGCATCACGCCTTGGTCATGGAGGAATGCCAGGGCAGAGAGGGTCTGGCCGGCAAGGCTCGCAATCTCCTCAAACTCCATGCGTACCTTCATTCGTTGTTGAAGGTTTCCTCCAGCCACGTACTCCATAACCAGCAGTGGCTTATAATCCTCGTGCCATTCCTCAACAAACTGTACTATATTTTTCTAATCTCTCAATCAGCGATTGCGCACTCAGCAAGGAATTGAATTCAAACTTACATGAAATGTCTGGCAGACTTTTTTAAGCATGTCGACTTCTTGCCTCATGGAATTCGTACTCTTGAACTCCTTTGCAGCGCAATTTTTCCCGTCGGGCATTCGAAGGACTTTGAAAACATCACCATACGACCCACTGCCGAGTTTCTTCCCTCGGAGATAGAACGGATCTGGAGGACTTGATGTACCACTTGCCTGTCCAGTAGCCGCTACACTCTTGATGTCGAGGTCGTCCGCTAGCGGGTCCCCACTGGCAGCTGCGCTAAGAAATGATTCGCAGTTCCTGTGAAATTGATCTTTGTTGATCCCGTACTTGGGCATAACAACATCAAATACGAGTACATCCGCCACCCTGACGCGAATCATTTCCTGTCCGCGAGGGAAGATCCAGGAAAAACGCGTCCGCTTCCCTTCTTTCTGATTATTAAAGGTGACTGTTGTTCGGTTGTCCGATGTGACATTCATGATGAGTTGATGGTGTTTGTTGAAAGTGAAGGCGAGCATCTGTTGGCTTATGTAATCGCCAGGGTCACCTAACAAAGCATCACAGGGCTTGTCATAGCTCCCCAGTACGAATCCTTTTGCGAAATTCTTGGGCCAATCGCTGAACAGGAACTGAAGCGCTGGCTCCGTCTCTTCTTTGATCTCGAGTCTTGGCTGGTCTTTGTTCTCAGAATCTGGCAGGGGAGGAGTGATTACCCTAAGAGACCGGTCCTTGGGTTTTCTCCTAGTGAACGAGGCAGGGACATATCTCGAACTATTGTGGGGGTCGGCCCACATCTGCTTGGCTCGCTCATTCTGCGCCACCAAGGTGAAAGCGAGGTTAGGGTCCTGATTTTCTTCTTCCCAATTCTCCAGTGGGCTCTTCCATTTCTTCCCAGACATCTTGAACTGTTATGGCCAGGACGTGGCTACTGAGTAGTGTCACAAATCAGTACGAAGACATGGTGAGAGTATACCAAGCATCCTTACTTTTGAGTGTCAGAAAGAAGAAGTACTTAGAGCCTTCCTTGACGGAGGTCGAAAACTGTTTCTGCTGTGTTGAGTGACACCTGGTAGCGTCAGAAATGATAAAGTGAGCGGTGTTGACAACGGGAGAGTCCTCACTATTGTGTTGTCTGTTTCAAAAGGCGCTCCTTGAGCGAGGCTGAGCACTATACCTGCTGGCTTGTATGGCAGACGAGCTTGCGTAAGAGTCGTAAGATGGTCAAATGAGATGGTGTTCCCCGAATGTAGTTGTGGGTAATGAATGTAGGGGCTCTCTTGATGAGGGAACCAGTCTTCTCTTCAAGACATACAAAGGTGCGAGAAGAGTGAGCGCTGTAATCTGCAACCGAAAATTATTGGCAGAAGCGAGTCATGAGTGAAGAGAAAGAGGTTGGAAAGGTAAAAATCTCTTGCAGAAGGGAGGGGATTTAAATACTAGTCTGGAAAGATGCTTCAACACAGAGCGACAAGAAAGTGATGTGGACTTGTCCTCATCAGGTCAACACAACCTATTGACCCATATTTATATAGCCACAAGATAGAGAAAGACATCACTATCTCGTCAACACATCAACTTCTCGGACATTACTATACCCCTAAAGCAACAAGTCAGGCGTTAGCTTCAGATCGGCAAAGTCCATCATCAGGCATCCTCCAATTCAGGAATCAAGGAGAACATGACCCCTCTGTTGAAATAATATCATACATCAACACAAACGGATGCGCGTCTGTAGACAAACTAGACGTGACCCTTATTGGCCAACAAAGCACCCGTCCTGCTTTGTCAGCATAAGCAAGCGTCACACAAATAATGTTTTACTTGATAACTTGATTGCTGGTTTTCCTGGTTTCTCAATACTCGCACAGTCGAAACTGCTTCAATCACAGCTAAAGCTACGATGACTCCAAACACACCGGTCGCCGTTGAGATTCATCAGTCATTGCCTTCTCCATCATCGAACTGTCACAGTGGTTTTGATCCAGAAGAGCTCACGAGATTACTAAGGTAAGAACACCTTAGCGCGTACTATATCCATTCTGATGAGCTCCTAATATATAGGGGTTGCACACCGACACAGGATGAGATGACAGCGACATACGAGGAACGCGCCAAGCAGCACCATGATCGACTCATTGAACTGGGCGGACGGCCGACACGTCCAGTCCGGCTACAGCCAACGTGGAATGCTACCTACAGAGACGGCCTGATCTACATTACTGACAACGAAGGGGAACTGGAGTCCACTCTCTCAGACGACATAGATCCAATGAACCATCATTGGTCAACAGAAAGCGCACAATTTGGGAGAGAATTGGAAAACTGGCAGAGGTTCAGGGAGTATCAGCAAAGTCTTCAGCACTTAGACCGCGTTGAAACAGAGTTAGAGCTTGATAATACAGATGCTGGATTGATCAGCGTCTTGACCAGATTGAGTGACTGGGAAGAGTTCGAGCTCTTTCAGGATCTGATTGGTGTTGACGCCTTCAATTTCGAAGACCGACGTCGCCTTAGGCTCCTACAGATTACGAAGTGTGAAGTCCCCGTTGAGAACTCACTACCAAGCTCCGCGGCCCATGAAGCGATTCGCACTTGGCTTCGTCTATTTAATCGAAGTCAAGAAGAGATAGAGGATGCCGAGAACCAGTTGAACTGGATTAAGGGTCAATGGCCGGAACTGATAGCCGAATCTGTCGATTCTCTATCGAAGACGCCAGAGCTTCAATTAGCATTAGAAGCAAAATTCAGAAAGCAGACCCAATCCACTGTCAGCGCCATACAGAAGCTAGGGGGCCGACCAAGCCACACCGTCAGTCCGCCTGATCACTCTATGGATAGTCTCCACAGAATCTTATATTGGACTTCCGAGACTTCGAAGTATAAAAAAGAGTTGTTAGATTGGAAGATGTTCCTCAAGTGGCGACGGCGTAACCTCCGTGACAAACCACAAGAGTATCGATGTCTCCAGTTCCAATCAGCGTTAGATTTCCCCATGGAATTTGAGGAATTCCGACTGTTTCAATGCAACGTCACCTCGACTTGGCTCCAATGCTGGCAGCGACTTGTGAAGTGGTATGAAGAAGAAATCAAGACGCCTCACCCAGATTTCACCTATGGGAATCTGGACGACCATGCCGAGGTAGCGCGCTCACACATGAGAGACTCAGAGACAAAACTCGCGGAAGCCACAAAACGATTCGAAAAGGCCAAGCAGGAGCACGCTTATACCCTCGCGGATCACGGTCAATCCACTGGCGGTGAGATCGGAATAGAATATCCACAGACGCCATTTCCACCTACACCGCCTCCTTCAGACCCACAGTCCCCGCAGTCTTCACGGTCTTCTTACTCTTCGCAAGTTTCGCCGTCTTCTCCTTCTCCGCCGTCTTCGCGGTCTTCGCAGTCTTCGCAGTCTTCTCAGTCTCCTGAGCATCTCTTCAAGGATCAGAGACCATTGAGTAAGAGGAGCTCTACCGAACAAGGTCATCGACGATCGAAGAAGCAGAAAGCAAGAAAGAAGGGTAGCGGAGGAGCAAAGATGGACAACACGAAACAGCGGACCCTTCCCAAGTTTTCTTCAGATCCATTTCAAGTCGGGAAGGATGATGATATCCAGATGACAGACGCCCACGCCCTGGGGGATCTGACGCCAGTCGAGATTATGGATGATTTCGAGGAAGCAGAGTCCGAGGACCTGGTCATGACAGATTTCGAAAACCCTCCCACTCATATCTCATCATGTTCACCCGATGCTCGGTCTAGGCCTGCCACAAGTACTGATTTCGGGAAGTTGTCGTTGTGTAACGCCCAAGGTTCAACATCCAGAAAGACTCGATCTGCTACAAAGCTCAACCAAGCTCTTTCTGGCAGAGTTCTCAAGAATACAGACGAGAAGCCGACCAAAAAGGCCAAAGAGTTCACAGAACAACAGACTATAATGTTATTGAATGCTGCATCAAACGAATATTCTCCTCCAGATTCTCCACCACTCCGGAGAAGTGAACGGCTCAAAGAGAAAGCTGCAGCCCCAGCCGTTACATCACCACCGGAACTCAACGCTACCCAATCTTTTCACTCATCAGGACAGAAGCATCCCCAAAAGGAATTTAATCTCGTTGAGCCCTCCCGAGCATCGAGGCACAAGAAGCCTAAGATACAACCCAATTCGTTCGAACCATCCCAAACATCAATGCAGAAGAAGCCCAACATACAATCCAATACCATCAAGCCACCCCGATCATCAAGGCAGAAGAAGCTCGAGAAACGAGCCCGCGATTCAGCCCGCCCGGGTTGATGATGTCTGTACCCAGTATTCTTCTTCAACTTTGGCTCCAGGAGTTGGCGTCAGGGTTTGCCATACGTTCTCTGCTTGCATTCTCAATCCTTGCGTTTGATATGCTCAAATCTTAGATGTTTGAGTTTTCGATGCCTGCGATTTCAGACTGAGCGAATTTGGTCGACTTCTGGTGGAGCGTTTGGAGCTCCCACATACGACATATCGATCTCTGTCACATTACCACTCGACCTCTCACACCGCACATTCGATCGCCGCGACTGTTCACCTCGTCCTCTACACTTCCTAAGATGGTTTTTTTCTGGTGCCACTAGGAACGCTGGACTCCGGAATACGCTGATTGGGGACTGGTGGAGATGGGCCGTCCCCTTCATTCCAATCTATTCGCTATATCTACAGATACTGGCCACCTAAAGGCCCCACCACAATACTTCGACTCCACATACCACAATATGTTCGCCATACGTGCAAACACTGGTCGTTTGAGGGCCTTGCCACATCTTTCCGACTTCTCTATATCACGATCTAGTCGCCATCCTTGCAATCATTGCCGATTCAACGGCCTTACCACGTCGCTCCGACCCCAATATATTATGACGTTTGCTCTGCCGTCCGAGACTGCCATTTCCTCCGTAAATGCGGCACCATACGAGATGTCACTCACATACATGCAAAATTCCGAGAAAGATCCTTCGATTACAATACCGGATAGAGCGATCTCCGGTTGATCAGCGGAGACTTGCGCAACAGCTGAAAAGAACACACATTCTTCGGCGTATTGGTACATTACCACCTTTCTCCCTTTCCCTATCGCATTCACCACACTTCCCCGCGAGGTTCTGAGATGCGTTCTTCGGCTGCTCAACCATCCGAATTGAGCAAATCTCAGTCGACCGGCGGATCCCAATGTCACTTCTCAATGCCCGACACACTCTTCGAATAATGCCAAGATACATGCTCACAAGGTGCATTCATTATTTATCTTGCCGTGGCTGGAGTTAGGATCGAGGAGTCTTAGTTGATCGGTGGCTACGCATTCATTCACTCTTCGATTGCTTCACGATAGCACGACCTTACCTCCCTTCTCTCACAAACTTTTCCGCGACGTCCTCAGCTACGCTCTCCGACTGCGCCACCGTTGATGAGTTACAGAAGAAGCTACTACTTGTTGATCGGCTACGCACTCCGGTTGCTCCACCACTGCTGGATTCCGGATCAAATAGTGCTTAGTTGATGGAGTACAAGAGGCATAAGCTATCGGAGTGTGTACTTGGACATCGCTGATGGCAGTCTGCGTCGAGTTGTGAGGCGAGTAGACTACAAAAGCGTGCGTCGGGCAGAAGGGATGCCACAGCGTGCGTTGAATCGAGAGAAGAAGGGGCCGCAGAAGCATACGTGACACGTGGTTGGTCGTAACGTGCGTGGAGTCGAGAAGGACATATGATACAGCAGTGTGAACTGAAGGCTCCTAATGGCGAACGGCAGAGCGCGCGGAGTGGAGAGAGGCATAGGCTACCGAATTGTATGCCAAAGGGGATCCAGGACCGCGTGCGTCGTGCTCGAGAGAGGCATCTCTATAAGAACATGTTTCAGTTTTGGTGATGGCAGTGTGCGTCCAGTTCAGAAGGGAAGACGCTCCAGGAATACGCGCCGAGGTGGAGGCGATGGCAAGGTACCTCGAATCGAAAGGGGCAAGGCAAAAGAAGGGTGCACCAAATGGGAGGCCACGCTAGCATGGGATGCAGGCGAGGGGAAGTCTCGGCGCGAACCAGTCTACAAGTTTTCGGCTTTATGAGTGCAAGGAATTTCAAGGGTCTTTCACATGCTATTTTCATGCTCCACAATCCTATAATTGATAGGGGCTCTCATAGCGGAGGGTCTCCTATATCTCATGACCGTATGCAGTGTCAATCATAGAGCCCATTTGCAATTAGATAGATAGAAAAGCATGTTGACTTGCTCAAGCAAGATCCTACCACCTTTTCATTTCTTGACCGTTGTGATATTGCGGCTCTTCTTGGAATGCCCGCGATGTGTACGCAAGCTCGTGCATAATAGACGCTTATGCAAACCGCTCATGGAAACCGCTCACGAAAACCGCTCATGGCAATCAGCTCATCGAACCCGCTCATCGAACCCGCTCATCGAACCCGCTCATCGAACCCGCTCATCCAAATCCGCTCATAGACTCCGCGCATAGACTCCGCTCATAGCATCCGTGCATCGAATCCGCTCATCGAACCCGCTCATATATCAAATCCGCTCATGCTCATTCTCATGCTCATGCACATGCAATCCCGCTCATGCTCATGTAAATCCGCTCATGCTCATACACATCCGCTCATACTCATACACATTCGCTCATGCTTATGCATATCCGCTCATACTCATGGATATCCGCTCATGCTACTCGTACTCATACACATCCGCTCATACTCATACACATTCGCTCATGCTTATGCATATCCGCTCATACTCATGGATATCCGCTCATGCCTTATGGGCATCCGCTCATACCTCATGCACATCCGCTCATGCCTCATACACATACGCTTATGCCTCATATGCACCCGCTCATGTCTCATACACATACGCTTATGCCTCATATGCACCCGCTCATGTCTCATATGCATCCGCTCATAGCAATCCGCTTATGCAAATCCCCTTATGCCAGTTTCCTTATACCAATCCGTTTATATAAATTTACTTATATCTTTCATATTATTGTATATAAATTATTCGCTTATGTAAATTCGCATGTATATACTCGCCTAAATTTTATATAAATTCGCTTATGCAAATCCGCTCATACATACAGAGATTACTATGTATCAACGTCGTCACCTATCCACATCTATCCACACCCAAATTCATACACGTCGTCGCTCCTCCAAGTCGCTCATTCAACAACAAAACCAACACTCGAACTCATCTACCCTAGACCGGTATGCGATACGCCAAAAGTATACACCCATCCTGTCAGGCCTGACCCGACACCTAAGCTTATAGGGCTTAATAGGGCGTATTCGTGCATGAAGCGCGATACCCACCCATTTTTGGGCCTATAGCCTAGTGGTTAACAGTGCTTACACATCCGCAATCAGAAAGACATATAGAACCCCCCCAGGCCTGCCCAAACAAGATTGCTACACCCTTTCCATTCCATACCCGAAGAGCTATGCGACACCATGCTACAACCATCTGCCAACATCATCAAAGACCCCTTTAGCAGAATCCCTCAGCCTAGGCCTTGGCAAGCGCTTTCGAAATAGTACCCCCGATGCAAATGCGAAGCTACTAGAAGCGGGGTAAGATGGTTACAGTACGTACATGATTGGAGCTGGTTTCTTCGGTATCAGATCTGGGGTGTCGGCAAGACTTCTCGCGGCAGAAGGCAGGGTTTTGAGATTTAGCAACGACGGCTCTCGCACGTGAAGAATGCCCAGTGTTATCTACTGCGCGCAGCGATGTGGGGGTCCATTGCTTTCGCGAGAGCTTGTAATATTGAAGCCAAAGACTGGAGCAGATGGGGTTCCAAATCTGGCATACGGGTCACGTTCGGTGTTCGTATTCGTACATCACAAGATCTTATCAATTCAAAACAGGACTGCCAGAAGAGCACACTTGTAGAACAGATTGCATTTCTCAGAGCTTCATGTTCAACTATCCACCTGATAGCAAGAAGTAGATGCATGACAAAGCTAGAACTGCAAGAACACCACCGACATGATTAATAAAGCGCTCCTGGGGGTATCTATCGTATCAAGCAATATGACCTCCTCCAAACGCCCAAAGCGCAAGTCCAGCTTTTTATAACGATCAAAATATGTATGCACCGCCCTCGCACTGAATGCGGTGTCAGAGGCAGGCGAAATATCTGCCACAATCCCGCTCTTGTAGGAATGTAAGTAGTCAAGCTCAAGACCTACCATTAGAAGGTCTATCAGCTTCACGACTCAGGAAATCCTCAAAGTTCTTGTTCATCGCTTCCCAATGCGCAGGACCGGCCGTGGGAGCCAGTGCACGCTTTAGTTTCTTCCTTTTGTGCTGCTCATCCGCTGGATCGCTGCGCTTTCGACCGCCTCTGTTCTCCTTCGATTCATTCATTTTTCCATTCACCTCTGTCGTGTTACCATTGGCGCTGTTCCTAGGAGTTGACCCAGAGGTATCCGGAACTGTAATAGAGTCTTCGATGTGTTTCTGCAGGTCATGAGAAGTAAAATCAGGAGTTCCACTGAGACGCCGGCGAGCACCGAAACGTGGGTGCGTTTGCTTTGGGGCTCGAACGGAAGCGCCTTTTCCTGCCGTGGAATTAGAATCAGGTAATGACCCAGTTTGGGGCTGACCTAGGTTTGGCGAGACGGCTGCGCTGGGGTTTGCGATTGTAGGCTCATAGAGCAAAGGCCCGCCAGCTGGAGCCGTCGACGGGGGAAGCAACATGTCTCCCGTGGCTATCAAGGGGTGGTCCCAACGCGACGGTTGGGTACTGTGGGCATGGTGTTTAGAGGCTCCTGACTGTTGAGGGAATGAGGCAACGTGCTGTCGGAGCTTACGAGCCTCTTCCTCCCTACGCCGAGTCATCAATGCATTATGAGCTATTGGGTCCCGACGGGACAGCTCGAAGTCCTTCTTCATCTGTTCAGCCTCCTTACTCTCCTCTGGTGTCAGTTCTATACCATCCTCGATATGAAATGTCTCGGACGGCGTAATTGAGAGAATGCGGTTGCTAGAAATGGGGATCAGCAGAGGAAATCTAGGAGAAAGGGTAGACGTGTGCTTACGTTGTCTGGTCAGCTAGGAGATGGTCTAGAAGAGCGTCTTCATTCAGGAATTGACTCAAGTCCTCCTGTTTGACAGTCTTCGGTAGGAATAAATACTGACCGGCACCTTTGACAGCGTGGCGATTTGGATTCTTTTTATCGACCACTCGATTAGCAAGCTGCTCCTTGAACAAAGCTTGATTTTGGATTGCTTGCTCAAAGGTGCCGCCTACGGTGAGACGATAGACGTAGACCGGTTTCCGTTGTCCGATGCGGTACGCTCTGCCGATGGCTTGCCGTTCCCACATTGGGTTGAAATGGTCGTCTATTATTACCACTCGATTGGCACCAAACAGATTCAGCCCTGTTCCCCCAGCTCTTGTGGATATCAAACAGATGTTCATCTTGCCCTCATTGAACTCTTTGGTGATTGGCTGCCGCTTCTCTGGCAGCATCTTCCCGTCAATACGAGCGTACGGCTTGTTTGCCTCGGCAAGCCGGTCGCCAATGAAGTCAAGGGTTGAAATCCTATGAGAGAAGACTAGGACCTTGTCCTGGGCAGCTTCAGCGAATTCTAGGACACTCATCAGGACTTGCATCTTGTTGGACAGACACAGAGCGTCAACGGGTGTAGCCAACATCTCGAACACCCTTTCGCTCTCGCTTATAATCTGTCTCAGACCAATCCTGGAAACGGGCTCGTTCAATTGAACGGCATCTTCCTCGGAGCCAAGCGGCCCTTCCTCAGCATCGGATTGGCGTGCCTTCTTTTTTGCCACAGAAGGCTTCGTCTTGGATGAGTATTCATACTCAGCTCTGAGCGCGAGGAGACCCTCCCTAAAGCTTTTGGGGTGATTGCAAAGGAGTTGGAGAAGGCCGAGCCAGGACCAGAGAAGAGCCTGTTTGGGTTCACCCCCCTTGCTGGCACCAAGCATGGATCCTGTATAGATACGATAAAGGTCGTCCTGGAGCTTGGTGAGTGGGACCGTGATGACAAACTCCATCTTACCCTTCAACTCGGCATGCAGAACTGCGTTTCCCCTTCGATGGACCTTCGGCTCCAGCTCCAATTCCAAAGCTTTCAACCTCTTCCGAGACTCTCGGTACTGCGAATCGGAACTGTCTCGGTACAGTCCTGCGTAGATAGGCTCTTCGTAAGTTGCAAGAAACTCTGCGGGCTTTCCCAGGTAATCTGGCGCAATCCAGTCAATCATTGAATAGTATTCTCCGAGACGATTAGCCAATGGAGTCCCCGTGAGTGCGATCCGACTCGTAGTCTTGATCTGATTGATGGCTCGATTGATATCTGAAGCTCGATTCTTGAAATTGTGGGCTTCATCGGCTACGACGAGACTGGGGCCTTCTAGCAGAGCTTTCTTGATCCTCTGATGCTGGGATTCGTCAAGCGCAGGTGGTCTGTTTGCCCGCGATTTGTTCTGGATCAATTCTGTGAAAGTAGGATATCCAAGTATCAAGACACCACCTTCACTACTCCAGGCTAGGATTTCATTGAGGCGTATAGGGAGTCCGATTGCCGAGCTCACTTTCCGAAGCTTGCCAAGAGAATTGGACGATGATGGAGGCCATATCAAAAGCTCGTCCCACCAATTCTCTACCAATGTGACTGGGCATAGTATGAGGGTTCGGCTTTCGCGAAGCTCGAGTGGGATTTGTTGACGGATATCCTTGTTTTCAGAAATCGATGCTTCTGCGATGGTGACCAGCAGCGAGATGACCTGCATGGTCTTTCCAAGCCCCTGAGCATGAGCAAGCAGACATCCTTGTAGGTTTTGATGATCGCCAGTGATTTCCCGCCACATGAACTGTAAGCCCTCCTTTTGATGTGGTTTCAAGCGAGCTCCATTTCCAAAGGCAGGGTTAAGCCGGACAAATTCCTCATCCTCAAGTTTGCCGGGGTTGACGATGACTTCCAGTGGATCACCCGCCTGAGAGCTCATTTTGGAGAGTCTGGACTTCAGTTCCTCTCGCCGACGGCGCTCTTCGTCGCCACGCATTCTTTCTTGAGCGGCTTGTCGTTTGTCTAGGGTTTCTTGACTCTCTGTCACAAGGTACTTTCTCTTCCGAAACGGGCTCTCTTGTGGACTTTCGTCAGATTCTTCTCGAAGTACCCGGAGTCGCTTCTTTTTCGACTTGATACGATTGGGAAGAGCAGGAGCAATCTGGTAATGTTGCAAACATTCGAGCAAGAAGTCGTAGAAAAGCTCGTATCCGTCGTCCTCCAAAGTTGCAATGATATGGGGGGTCTGAAGACCTTCAGGTGTTATCTTCACAGGTATCGTCCAGCAAACACGCCATGTGGCAACCCGCATGATGCTGTCTGAGTCTTCCTTGTCCATGTTTTTTAGGCGTCGCTTGTGATTGCGAAGCTCTGTAAGGCCTGATACCACGTTTGCGCGAGAGACTTCCATGCTCGTTTGATTTAAGTAGCTAAACGCAGACTGTCGTTGGGATACTGATGCATGGGCCACCATCCATTTCAGTAGTCGCTTTCTGTCCTGCCTTTCCACCAACTCGGCAGCATTCATATTCCTGATTTTGTCAACATCGTCCAATGCTGGAAATCGATTAGGTGGATCAAGATTTCGATATCCCACGGAGTCGTTGGAGTCACTTTCTAGGCAAATGATTTCCGTGGTCTTGGTTGGAGATTTGGGCACCGTAGGAGGCATCCTAAATACAGGCTTCTTACTGCGACTGCGCTGGAATATCTCGCTGTCATTTTCGCTGCTGTACAGAGGCGGCGTCTGGATTGCATAAGAAGGCTCGTGCTTCGGAGCGGAGATTTCTGGTTCCACAGGATCTGATTGCTGAGTCAAGTCGATGACACTGGACGGAGAAGGTGCAGGCTGACTGAATTTCTCGGTTCGCTTAATTGGTGTCTTTGGCTTTGGCCCCTCGACGATCAAAGTGTCGGAGTCAATGCCATCTTCGACATCGGCCATCGTTAGGTCATCATCAACAACAACAGGCTGATAGATGTCTTCGTCGGCGTCGTCTTCGACGATGAAGTCCTCCAAGTCATCTTCTGAACTGTCTGGGGTTTCGGTATCAGCCGTAAGTATCTCTTCGCCATCTTTGAGTATCTCCCCAGGCCCTAGGCTCTTGGCGCGCCTGGGTTGTCTTGTTTCAGGCGGCAGTTTCTCGGGCGCTTTCTGCAATTGCAATGTGGCGATCTTCCATTTGTAGTCTTCACGGTCGAAGATAGAGTGTTGCATGGATTTGCATTGTTTGTTGATTTGACTGGACTTTGACCATTCCTCTTGAGCAATCTCCTTTCGAAGACCAGCGATACGAGCTTCAAGCTTCTCGAACTCACGGGTGAACGACTCAATCTGGTTTCGTGAATCTCGATTTCGTCTGGATTTCGCCCATAGACGCCATTGCTTGAATTTAAGCTTTGGCAGCCTCTTGAGAGTCCACTCGCAGACGATCTGCTCCACTGCAACATCGATCGCGCCTTGAATCTCCGCGCTTGTCAGCTTTACACTTTTTGACAGACCTAGTGGCCGTGCGATCTTCCCTCGTTCTTTCTCCATCTCACGCCATGTCTCAAGATCGTATTCTCCCTCAGAATTCGAATCACCGTACACAGGAAGAACCTCATCTTTCCCATCCATGAAGTTCCACTTCTCAAGGGCCTTCCACTCGGGATCTTCGCTCTCATCTCGGGCAAGAGCCGGGTCAGCAACGTTGAACACGTTGCCTGTCCTTCCATGGACCTCTGTTGCGTCGGGGACGACTTTGTCTATGGTCCACTTTGAACGATTCGCTCTTGATGCTATGACACCCTGGGAAGACGGGGAAAATACGGTGATGGACAGAGGGCAGTTTTTCTTGCTAATCATATCAGGGTAAGGGATAACTCCAACATGGCCACGTCCGTCTCGCTCCAGTGATACTCTTTGGCCCCTAAGAAGGTATTTCATACGGGCATTGACGTATAGGCGTTGGCCTTTAGCGACATCGTTGTTGGGAGCAATGTTGAAGTCATCAGGCTCATCTGGTGGTACTAATTGTGACGAGGTTCCCACCGCCTGATCTTTGCCCAAATCCTTGCCCAGAGCGACATCGCCGTAGACCAGATTGTCAATGGGCATCGATTCGAGTCCGAGATAAATCTGGTCTGCCTTTCTCTTAGCTTTCTTCCCGTATGACCGCTGCAATAGGTGTTCTGTATGTTCGACCTCTCGCAAATCTGGTACAGACGAGCCGAAGGTGTCATTCACCTTCTTCAGAATTGGCTTAACGGTTTGCCGATCTTCAGAGTCGAGATCGGCTTCGTGGACCAGGAAGGGTCTCATTCGCTTTTGTCCATTATCATTGATCAATACAGCTCCAGGCTCTGCCGCCGCCTCTACTGAGTCCAGTGCGGAACCTGACATCGACGTGGCCGCCTCCACAAGAACGGGAGGCTTCCGGGACTCCTGTAAAAGCTCGTCATCAAAGTTTGGACAGTCAGAGATTGATAAGACATTCGACTCGAAGGATGTATTTGCGTTTGTGTCTTTTCGAAGAGTCTCCGGGGAGCTGGGTGGTTCATCGAAAGTTGACGACTTCGCTGCAATGGTCTGTGTTGGTCCTGAGGCACTAGGCTGGGCTAGGACCAAACGCCGCCTTTTCTTTCCTGTGTCATCGATGAAGATAGTCTCGTCTTGAAGACCAAGTCGTTCAGCTTGCTCTGTGTTAGAAGCATTCTTCGCGTCGCTCAAAGGTTCCTCGTGAACCAAAGCTATCACGCCGGGATTGTTCCTGGTCTCTTGAGGCTTGACCTCATATAATTTTCCTTCAGTCATGTTGATTCCCAAGCCTTCTCCAACTTGCATATCTTCCAAGGAGCGGAATGTGATTGTATTCGGTCGATCAAGTCCTTGGAGCTCAGGCCCTTCCTTGAGGTCATCGCGAGGCTGTGCTGGAGGTTGACCAGGCCCAGAGTAATTCTGCACCTGCGCAGACGAAGCGGATGGGGAGGTCGTCAATGCCAGTGCCCTAGAGGCAGCTCGCGGCTCGAAGGATGATGGAGTTGCAAAATATGGAGATCCTATTCGTGAATCCAAGCCCACACTCGATAGCCTAGCAGAACGCCGAGCCTGCTGCTCCTGAAATTTCGGGGACATATATTGCAGCTCCTGGATGATATGCTTGATAGTGGCCCTGTGGCCCATTGACTTGATCCCTAACTCATCTCGTAGAGAAGAGGTATTGACCTCTGTGAGGAGGGCAAGCCCTGTAACATCGTTTTCGCGGAGGATTTCGGCGAGGATGCTGGCATCTGGCAGTGACGATCGCGCATCTTCTGTAAGCAGCCGGCTTTCAGGGTCGGTCAGGGCGAATATCACCTGATCGACTGTCCAATCCCGCGGGTCCTGGATTGACGAAGGCGGTCCTTCGATTGACGGTTGTATGAATGACATGCTTGCCCAGGTAGATAGATGGTAGGACTACCTGAGCCAGCGTACGATATTGCACATGCAAGGAAGCAGTGAGATTGTAGGTAGTAGTAGGAACGATGTCGTTCTCTTTCTAAGAATCATAGCGAGCAGGAGACGTCGTGATGAGACAGGAAAGGAGTGACGATGGATTTGTAGTGAATGTTTCGGACAAGGTGCCTTTCTGTTGGATCCCACGATTGATCCTCACTTTCACATCAGTCAGTAATGTTCCTGGTAGATGTTGTGCAGGTGTCTACCTTGTTTCGTTGGTCACTGCGTCTTCTTCACACCCATCTTTGGTGAAACCTCAATTGTACTTTGCAGCATTAGCTGATATTAAATACAATTTCTCGAGAATCGAAAGCTGCGACACTAGTAGGAGGGACCAATATATGGAGAGCGCAATGTTTTGGTTGCGACTGCAGGTTGCTTGCAAATGTGACGCGCCAAGTTTATCCCCGAGGTGCTCTTATACCCGAGCTTAGAAATTCACCTCACGTTATTCATCTTGGATTTGTATCACTATGTGAGAGCATTCGTTCTCAAAGATAAAGACTAGGCGCAGCTCAAGATGGCCGCATTAATCTATCCTGACTACCCTCCGAATCTGACATCAGAGCAATCGGACTACATTGTCTCCAATATCAAGGACTGGTCAATTCTCAGTGGCTTGGCTGTGCGGCCCTCTTCATCTTTTGTGTCGGAAAAGATAGATCCTTCACGATCTCTCGCAGTAACCGCACCTGTCACTCTGTTTCCTAGCCTCTTTCCTAGAGAGTGCTTTGAGGAAGCTCGGGCAATCCAGACTGCATATAATGAGCTATATGCGTGTATTGCGAATGATGAAGAATGGCTAGGAGAAGTCGTGAAGGAGTATGCGTGCATTTCTACCTCGTCAATACCTACGAAAATTTCCGTTGCTCTGACCATGCTCAGAACATATATGTTTCAATTGGCAGGGAAGGGGGTTTCGTCTAATCAGCTGCTACCTTGTTTCTCGGAAATCTACACAAATTTATCTGGGGAGTATATGGATTTTACTGTTTCCTAATTGTGTGTTTGCAGATTAGCCGAAGTAGATGATTTCATCTCAAATCTATGGAATGTCCATCAAGCAGTGAAGAAGGAGGGCTATGTGCAGGTACTTCAGATTTATTCACTACCTCTTCGAGGTGCACATGTACTGAGTCAGCGCAAAGGACCTCTCTCTGGGTATCTTTCGTTCAGATTACATGGTTCACAAGGATCCATCAAACCAAGAGGCCAAGACCGAGATCAAGCAAGTCGAGTTCAACACAATTGCGTCTTCTTTCGGAGGTCTCTCCGCTAAAGTCTCGGCTCTTCACAAGTACGTTCTTATGTATCTGCTGCCATCTGCGATCCTGATGATTACATTAGGCACCTCCTTTCCATCTCCGCCTACCCACCCACTATTCCACCACTCATATCTGATTCCTCGCTCCCTCCCAACCCATCCATCGCATCACTATCCCGCGGCATCGCCACTGCCCATAAAGCATATGGCCGCCCCAAAACCAGCTCTCAGTTGCCCCTTTGCACCCTCTTCATCGTTCAAGATCTCGAAAACAACGCATTTGACCAACACGCTTTGGCTACCAATCTTCTTACAGACCATAGTGTCCTCACCTTCCGCCTTCCTTTCTCTACCGTACTCGCCCATACAAGTATACCATCCGACTCGCCATCTCAACCTCTAATCTACACACCACCACACTCCCCAAGTACCCCTTACGAAGTAACGACCCTGTACTTCCGCGCCGGCTACTCGCCCGCCGAATACACCTCCCCAAACTCATGGAATGCACGCCTCCATCTCGAGCGATCAGCAGCCATCAAATGCCCCTCCATTCTGACACACTTGGCGGGGTCAAAAAAAATCCAACAAATCCTGGCCACACCATCCTCGCCTCACTTATCCCGCTTCTTGTCATCTACGGCATCCGCGGCATACATAGACCGCATACAGGCCACCTTCGCTGCCATCTACCCTCTTGATGATACGGCAGAAGGTAAACACGCGATCGAAATCGCTACTGATCCCGAGAGGATTAGAGGTTACGTTCTGAAACCGCAGAGAGAGGGCGGCGGTAACAACATTTACGGATTGAAGATACCGCCCTTCATCAAATCGTTGGGTGATGACAGCAAGAAATACCGAGGCCATATCCTTATGGAATTGATTGAGCCGCCTGCGCTACGGAACGGGGTCTTCAGGAATGGGGAGGTCACGATGGGTGAGGTGATTGGAGAGCTAGGAGTGTATGGAGTTTGCCTTTGGAGACATGGCCGCGATGAGAAGGGAGAGCGAGAGATACTGGAGAACTGGGAGGCAGGACACCTGTTGAGGACGAAAGGCCGGGAAAGCGAGGAGGGCGGTGTAGCAGCTGGATTTGGTGCAGTTGATAGCGTTTGCTTGATAGACGTATGATCGCAATGGCGTTCTCCTCTCATCACCAAATGAACGTGGCTAAACCTAAAATGACCCGAGCATGATGCATACAAATACTCTATGCTCCACCAGGTGTCGACAGATTTCTCCACCCCGAGGTTTACCCGGCTACAACGTCGAACTAAGGCGGAGTTGCTACGGGTCATGACTTCTATGTACGAAGTCCGGGCCCGTATCGCTGAAATGCCTTGGCGATGTCGTCAACTAGTAGAAACAGGTGGTAGACGTATTAAATCTGATTTATGGTGATATTCAGAAGGAATATATATGGTAGATTCTCAGTTTTCTCCAAATGCGTGCAGTAGCCGGGTAAACCTCGGGGTGGAGAAATCTGTCGACACCTGGTGCTCTTGCAGCTAGACACGCAAATTCACACCATATCTCTCTCGGGATAGCCATTTAAGAAGGCCAGGCCAGGCCATAATGCATGCCGTCCTCTCCATAAAAAAACAGTCGTTCATCGTCAAAATTTTGAGGATCTGTAGATTGTACCCTTGCGACTGCATCGAAATCCGATATCTAGCCGTGCTGGCTTGGTACGCATGTTTTGCCGTAAGCTACGGTCATCTTTACAGAAACCTTGCGCCAAAATTCTTTGAAAGTCAAGAATATAGGTGGAATTTGGTCCGTCTATACCCCTCCTCGAACAATGGCCTCGCAAAAACTCAAGCTCTCCGCAAAAGCCCATCTCCCGTTCAAAAGTAAGAACAAGGAAAAGCGGCAGTCCCTCCATATTAACAGAAAGAGAGCCACTGATAGCATCAAACGAGATGAGCGGTTCCGCCGACGACGAGAAGAGGACAAAAATCCCACTTTACGAGAACAGAGGCTGAAGGAAAACGTGCCATTGACATTGGAGAGGAAAAGAGTGTGGGATGATGTGGATAGTGATGTTGGTGACGGGCTAGGAGTTTCTGTAAATATCGAGAGATTGAAGAGGAGAAAGGTCGAGGAGGAGCAGGCTGCTTTGGAAGAGGGGGAAGAAGAAGAAGGAGAAGAAAGGTCCGAAGGCGAAGATGAAGAGAGGGATAGCATGATCGAGTCCGCCAGCGAAGACGAGGCAATAGAAATTGTGAAACATGCGAAGGCTCCGAAGAGAAGGACGCCTACAGAGCGTGCAACATCTCCCGTTCAATCCATGAGAAGCACGAACCTCGACTTCACACCTGAAGCTCTCGCAGCCAAATTTCCTACCCTGTTCTCCACCGACGCCCCTCCTGTCCCGAAGGTTTTGATCACGACATCTCTCAACTCGACTCTTCACAAAGAAGCCGACCACCTCACGTCTCTCTTCCCCCACTCAGTCTACATTCCCCGATCCTCACACCGGTACAGCCATAAGTTCTCGGTCAGAGAAATCTGTTCCTTCGCTACAAAGTACGTTTTACATCTCGTAACGTTTCCTTCCTATCTTGTACCGCAGTCCGAGTTCTGAGACATGTTTCGAGATTTGCGTAAATACCTACCTTGTCTTACGACTCCTTATCCGTTTCAAAGAAGCAGCACTGACTTGCAGAACGTGAAGCCGCAAATATACGGCTGTTATCGTACTCAAGGAAGATTTGAAAAGGCCGACGGGCTTAACAGTCGTACATTTACCCCACGGGCCTACCTTCCATTTTACCATATCGAACTGGATTGAAGGGAAGCGTCTGCCCGGCCACGGAAATGCTACAGATCACACGCCCGAGCTCATACTCAACGGTTTTTCTACGCCTTTAGGGTTACTGGTGGCGCATTTGATGAGAACATTGTTCCCAGCTCAGCCTGAGCTGCAAGGGAGGCAGGTGGTCACGCTACATAACCAGCGTGATTACATCTTCGTGCGCAGGCATCGCTACGTTTTCAGGGACAAGCGAAAGACGGAGAAAAGTGTCGTGGACGCAGACGGAAAGGAAGTGAAAGGCGCGGAGGAAATTAGGGCCGGATTGCAAGAGCTTGGGCCAAGGTTTACGCTCAAGTTGAGGCGAGTTGACAAGGGAATACAGAGGGCTAGCGGGCAGGAGTGGGAGTGGCAGGGTGGAATGGAGAAGCAAAGGACCAAGTTTCAGCTATGATGTGTGCATATCAGAGATACCCAATCAATCAATCCCGCATTCATGCAAGCTTGCAATCCCAGGCCCACAAGAGTAGAAAGTACAATGTTTCGTTTCTCCTGGGCGATGAACAATACCGATCCCAGGGGTATAAATACAATTGTCCCCAAAGCACCCCGATGGACACACGCCAACGATGAGTGCATAGAGCTGATAATGTTTTCCAGCGCCAATAATCTTTACACCCCATCACACACTCCCCACCCTGAACACCACCTACTCGCCCTCAATCTGTCCCTCAGCCCTCGGATCCCTACGGTCCAGGATTTCAAAATTCCCTAAATCTTGCCATCAGCACGTCCCACCTCGTGGCGCAAAGCCGGAAGGAAAAAACGCTCACTCTGCACGATATTCAACGCGCTGGAGGCGATCCCATCCTTGTTTTGGAACTTGTTCATGCTGCAGTCGCCTTCGACGTATACGAGGGAGCTGTGCGGAAGCAAAAGGTCAGCAGACGAGTCGCGCCATTCGTCCCCAAAGACTGCATTCGACATGCCATCAATGAAAGCATCGTCCCCATTCAATCGCAGTCCCCAACGCTCCCAAATCCACCTCCCAGCCCCGCCCTCCCTACCACACCCACGCACGAAGAGAAGAAAAGAAGGGTAAAGAAAATCCCCACCCACCCCTTCCCCAACGCCATCAAGAGGTCCCTCGCCCCGCCCTCGGGCAAGAACGACGCGACCTTCCACCAACTCGTCTGCCTGTTATCTTTGGGCCCGTGGTTCGTCGCCAGCGCGTACCTGATCATGTCCTGCCCCCTGCTCGTCGCGACGATTTCCGGGGCGTCGGCGAGACGGCCGACGATGATCATGCGGGCGAGGCGGGAGGCGGGGGAGGTCGAGAAAGGGCGGCGGGCGGTTTGGAGGCGGAGGAGGGTGGAGGAGGAGGTGGGGCGGAGGGAGGTCAGGAATGACATCTTGGGTTGTGAGTTATGGTAGGTTCGGATGGCGCTGGGTTGGTTGGGAGTCGAGTTGTTTGGAAGTTTGGGCGGGGCGATATGCTGGATGTAAATTTGACGTGGTGGAATCAGCTTGGGAAAGTCGCGACAGATTAAAGGAGGCTAGCGGCAAGTCAGGCGTCGGCCAATCAGCTTCCAGTATTTCAGTCTACTGAAATATAGTCATATCGCAGCATTTCTGAGGATCAACATCCGCGGTCGAAGAGATATATTTCACAATTGATGCATGATTAAATGTGCTATATGCTATATGCTGAAATCATCGCTATTCCAGATGCAATGTCGCTGACTGACCAGACTCCGCAGCCTCCCAGAGACGCCAGAATCCAAAATAGAGATCATGGGAATGGTAGGTAGATGCGACCAAATCCACAACGCCCATCGCTTCCATGTTCGAGCCCGAACAGCTCTCAGTGATGTGTGTAGTGTAGATGTATAAGCTCCCAGTGCCTTTATGCATGGTCCATCCGCCTGAACGGTCACCACACGAAATCCACACTAAGCACGATCCGTGCTTGCAATTGAGTCACTATGATGATTACCACTGTTGTGGAGATCTGTTCGAGTTTGCTTCCCAGCGACGATTGGGCGCTGACAGGTGGGCATCAACAAGGAACTTTGTAAGCCATGAATGCGGGAACTTTGTGGAAGGACCCTTCTCGTCCATAGAATCTTTTGAGGCGCTTAGAGCGTCGCCGGCTCTGGGCCCGTTTTCGTTGATCGTCGAGAGTCGGCCAAAGCCCCTCTGTTGTTCGACTGGGGATAAAGTCGCAGTTGATGCGGTGGTAGAATCTCCTTTGCTGTGTCTGATGGTGTTAGTATCAGGAAGACCAAAGGGGCCGTGTTCAAACTCACAAAGAAAGCATAGACATCCGGAACAATCGGTCCTTGAAGAAGCTTCGTGTTCTACTGCCAAAAGAGCTGGTATGGCTGCTTGTCGGCAGGATTGTACGGCGAGCAGGTTGGCGGTGTAGACCAGGAAACACTCGTCCAAATCCAAGCTTGAGGAGCCATTTGCGGTACAGAGTCTGTGCGTCTTGACCCAATCCGAAGAACAGAAACACTCCATATCCAAGAGCAATTTGAATCCAGCGGTCGTAGTACACCTCACCACCAGTAGGTATCAGCATGATGTCCTGCCATTGTGGACTATGAATCAAGTCCCAGCTGTATGGGAGCAGAGGAGGCTCGGCCGAGTTGACGAAGAGGACATAAAATTGAAGCGGGATAAAGGTGACTATGAGTGCCATTGACAGGAGAAACAGGCGTAGGAACCGATTCTTTGTCAAATTGGAATTCGACGATACGAGGATTTCTGAGAAGTCTTTGCGGTATCTGCGCATTCGGACGATGACCAGGACTGGTAAAGTTTAGCTCAACAAGCACCCTACGGGACGGAGTATACACATACCACTGTAGTAAGCATCTACAAGACAGATAATCGGAGGCCAGATGAACACTAAGACTAGCTTGGGCCAACTGTTGTCGAAGGAAGACGTACATCCAGATATTGCGTAGATGTAGTATCTGTTTGGCTGGACGATGTAGTGAATGAGCATGACGTATATGGATCCTCCATAGCAGAACAGGCAATTGGTAATGGTCTGTCTACGGCGTTGTTCCTTGCTTAGGGATAGAACTGTCTTCTCAGGATCCAGGGCCTTTGCTAGATTGCGCATGATGCACGCCATGGAGCCAACGACACCAAAATTGACAGCCATCTGGAGTTTGATCTCGATGTCGCAGAGAATCTGACCATGCCACCAATGCTGTATGTCGTCTGTTGGCCAGATGAGCGGATTGATGAAGTTCATGAGGTTGGAGATGATGACCCAAAACACCAGGCTTGATGCTGCTAGATTGCGATTTCTGATGTGCCAGACAAATGGAGGAACATCGATGATGAGCGCTATCAATGCCAATATAGGGACTGCGACCGCATTAGGCGTGACTGGAAAGGTTGATTCGTCCATCGTAAGTGATGTGCGAAGACGATACTGGAGTGAGGTCTGCAGTAAAGTAGTTTTGTTGATGGGATAGAGTAGGTTGCGTTGATGTTAAGAAAGAAGTGAGGCCTGCCCGAGTGGTGAGCCAGACCAGCTGCGCTTCCTTGGCCAGCAAGAAGCAGATGGCGAGGAGTCTTACGCTGCTCTAGCTAATGCGTAAGATGTACTGAGTCGAGGCGGAGGCAAGAGAGCTTGTCTGAATGGCTCGCTTTAAGGCAAAGTAGATATAGAATTGTCTGCTTGGGAGGTAGCTGTCCGGAAAAAAATATGTTTGACGATGTAACGAAATGATGTAAGATGTAGAAAGGTCAAGACCGGGGTACAAGGCAGATGTATTTGCAATGCGGACCTATGAGTTTTCGAGGAGATACAAGTAGAGCCTCGTAAGGAAGCAAGTTCACTGCGTCAATAGAATAACGTTGGATGCCAATAGCCGTGCCGGTTTTTTTTCTCGCAAATGTAAAAAACTCAAAAGGAAAGTTGTGGTTACTACTGAAATGCCAATAGCTTATTGACAGAGAACTGAAGAAATGAGATGTGAAGCAGACCTTGGTGGTTGTCTCGAAGCAATCGTGGTCTGTTGTTCCCTTTTTGGGTGTCAATAGGCAAGACATTGACATGAACGCCAAAAAAAAAGGCCGACGAAAGCAGAGAGACGGCGGGAGTTCTTCTCCTCTTTTTCCGTTACTACGAGGAGGAAGCAGCAAAGTCATCGCACGAGGCCCGATTTTGCCCGGCAAAAAGTCTTATGCAAGCGACATGAAGATTCTTGGTGGATGAGCCCGGGCTGCCTCGGATACGCTTCAAGCTTTTAGCTGCAGCGAACGAAACGACAACCCTTGGCTGATGGTAGGAACAAGGCATTATGTCTATGCTTTGACCGTCCGGTGCTTGATGATGAAGCTGGCAGAAACGGTTGAGGTATGGATGGAAATTGGAAAAGGTTTGAGTCTCTCGAGGGTCGGTGCTGGCCTGGAACAAAGGTGGTGCCAATTGCCATTTAATTCACCACTCGGGCAACCTTCCAACGGCAAAAGGTCATACCTAGCTGAACATAAAGTACGTTCAGTCATCAGTGCCAGATTGCCAACATTGGTTCCTGAACTTCTTGGCTTCAACTTCGATCGTAGAGTACATAGCCGCGCAGCAGCGGAAGGAGCCGCCACACACGCGGGAAGTTTCCTATTTCGTCGCAGGTACTACTTTAGTACCTACCGTACTAGTACCAACTACCAACTCTACCAATATACATGTCGTCACCGAAATGTTTCATCTTAAAAGAGCATTCCACGGCTCCCTTTTCGCAAGGAGTTGATCATGTGAATTCTTTGCCCATTTGGCTGCCAAGCCATGCGTGCGGCCGTATCCGCTCAGCAATCCAATTTCAGACTGCAGCTGCCCATCATCCACAATACCATATCACTCACAGCCCAACGGGACCACAATATGGAACGTGACCGGACGATGAGTCCTTCGAATGAGACCCCAACACCCATGGCGAAGAACACAGCGCGACAAAGCGATTCTCCTATTCGCAGTCGGCTGTTAGGACGCGCTTCGACCATCGCGGATATATCGAGTCCTCTAAGACATCGCCGAAGCTCCAACTTCTCGGATTCCGTCGAGAGCACGCGAAAATCCATTAAATCGTCCACGGAAAGTCTCTTACTGCCGACAGCGACGAGTCCCGAGCTGGAAACAAACCATGAACCCTCTCATTGGCACTCTGTGCCGCTCGCTCTGGCGCTGCTCCCGGCCGTAGGTGGGCTGTTCTTTCACAATGGAAGCGCTGTGGTGACAGATTTGACCTTGCTGGGTCTGGCGGCGGTGTTTTTGAATTGGTCTGTAAGACTACCTTGGTGAGCTTCAGTCCAACACATTTCCTTGCTATCTAAACTTACACCGAGGCAGGCACTGGTACATTTCAGCGCAGTCCGTCCAACTCAGTGACCAGCTACCATCTAATGATGACTACATTTCCGACACCATTATCGAAGAGGGCAGTGAAGAGGAGGAACAACATACTCCACCTGTCTCACCGCTAGACGGAGCCAATGATCCTAATCCAAAGCCCGCACAACCTTCTCCGTCTCAAAGCCCCGCAACAAGCGAGCTTCGGATCCATGAGCTTCTTGCACTCTTAATGTGCTTCCTTTTCCCAGCAGGCGGTGCATGGCTCCTCCACCACATCCGTGGCCAGCTTACCCGCCCATCAGAAGGCCTCGTCTCGAATTACAATCTCACGATCTTCCTTCTAGCCGCCGAATTGCGCCCCCTCTCCCACCTCATCAAACTCGCCCAAGCGCGAACCCTACATCTGCAACGAAACGTCAATACCAATGCCTACTCCGCTACCTCCAGAAACATGTCTTCCGCTACGATTGATGGCCTACAAGACCGTCTTGCGGAATTGGAAAGGCACATCGCCGACACCAACACTAATGGCACGAACGGCACTGCCACTAAGTCGCCAAGCCCAGATCTAGTCACTCAAGTCCGCAAAACCCTCCAGCCCGACCTTGACGCCCTCAACCGCGCCGTCCGCCGCTACGAAAAACGTGCCACCCTCCTCTCCCTCCAAACCGAGTCCCGCCTCCAGGATCTCGAAAAGCGCCTAGGTGACGCGATAACTCTTGCTGCAGCCGCAGAACGCAGCTCACAGTCTTCTCGCCAACGGAGAGGAAGCGGTGTCGGTCTGGTGTTCGATTTGTTCGATGATATGGCGGCAGTGGCGTCGTTGCCGATACAGATTTGCTGGACGGTAGTGGCTTTGCCCTGGAGAGCCGTTGCATCTCTCATGGGATCAGTGGCGGCAGGGGCGGAAGGTTGGGTAGGGAAGAAAGTTAAGAGGGAGATGAGGACCGCGGGCGTTGTTGAAAAAAGAGCAGGCAGTGGGAGTGAGAAGAGGAGGTTGCAGGGGAGAGCGGGGAAGAAGTTGATGTGACTTGTATTATCAAAAGGAGTTGGCCAGGGGCCGTGGATGAAAGGAATCTTTCATGCTGACAGCATAGAGAAAAGCAACGGGTGGTGCTACTGCAAGGGACATTCAACGAAAAGCCTACGGGGGGGAAGTCCTAAGGATGGGCAGGCAAATTACGTTGCTTTATGATTACATGTGTTACGGACACACCCTCTTACGACGAACTGTACCACTGTATACCATTGTACTTATAAAGAACATTAGATTATCAAAAAAGCGTAGTTAAACAACGTACTACTACTACTACTACTACTACTACTACTACAATAAAGCCATAGATGATGCTACTCCATCCACACGCGTGTCTACTGAACCCACTCTATGAAAAGATAATCACGTCCCCCTCCCAAGTGCGCACATGTATATCAGATGAGCATGAAAAACCCCTTCCCCAAAACCGGCAGTGGATACGCTTAGATCGGAAGTTCCACTCTCCGCCCACAATCGATCCCCGACCCCATTCCCAATCCCATCCCCAGCGTCTCATCCCCGATATCGTGTGGCTATTGAAAGGGGGGAAAAAGGATAAATAGGGGGACCGGGGGAGGGGGTTTCACGGACGGTGACGGCAGTAGCTCTGGACCGAGTATGCTGGTCCGTTTTTACCTATGCTGTTAGGGGCAGTGGGATTGGGTTAGTCAATCCGATCGCATCGTGTGTCCGTTGTTTGGGTAGGGTGGGAAGGGATACAACACAGATTGGTTGACGGTTTGGTTGATTATATTGAGATAACAGACATTGAATTGTTGTCGATGTGGGAAAAATTTGTGTAAGTGTATGTATGCTTGAATATGCTCATGAATATATGGTTGGCGACAACGCCCTCGCTCTGTATCCGGGCCTTTTGCTTCTTTACTATCCGAACGTCGGGGAAGGAGTGGGTATATCCAACTGGTGAAACCAGAAAACAGAATCCAGACTCCGTGAACTCGAAATCAGAACCAAACTAAAAATATCAAGATCAAACGTGAAGCAATCTGGAAGGAACGTGACAGAGTCAGGCAAGGCTTTTGTTCGCCTCCGCCTGCATCTTCCGCATCTGCTGCTGGTGCAGCTCCATCATACTGCTCTGTCTCATACCGCGGTCCATGACATTTTGTGTCACGGTCTGGTTGACCCTTTGCTCTTGCCTGCTGCTACTCTCACGCCGCTTCTCGGCTAGGAGATTCGCGCGGCGGGCTTCGATCTCTTGGTCACGGTAGTGGGCTGTTTTTGATGCTTGAAGGCTGGCGCGCCATGCTGAAATGGTGGAGTCACGAGGCGTGGCTGAGGGACGCCTGAATAAGGGTTGCGGTGTTGGAGAGGGGCCGTTGCGGGAGTGGATGGGCGTAGTTGCGCCATTGTGGGAGTAGATTGGCGTGGTTGCACCTGAGCTTGGGCCGGAAGATGAGCGGTGCCATTGAGGAATAGAGTATGGATTCTGTTGGAGGAGGGTTTTCCGCTGCGAGAGGGAAATGTTGTCGTCTTCCTTCAGGCCGCGCAATGCTGGGTGCTGCTCTTGGGTAGTGCTCGATGCGCTGGCCCGCAGAAGGGATGTAGAAGATGGTCTGTTGTGAAGCATGCTGTCGCGTTGAGACATCAGGTGCGTCGAGGAGGGAGTAAAGCGAATTGGGAAGGAGGCTTCGACGCCTTCTTCTATTGGAGACTCGATCAGTGGTGAGCTCATTATGGGACTTGAGGTGCTGCGAAATCCGCGGGCAGAGGGGACGGATGATTGGGGAGAGCGAAATTTGGGGAGAGGTGGCCGATATTGTTCTCTGCGGCTTTGAGTGCTACTGAGAGATGTTTGCGACGGGGATCGTTCCATGCTGTTTGCTAGGGATTTCTGGGAGGGCGTTCTTTCCATAGCTTTTTCGCGGGTTAGTTGATGCACAGCTGGTTTGAGCTGTTGCGTATCCTGCTGTCTGTGGAACGGGTTCTTGGATTTGAAGTAGCCCGCGGGCCTCTCACCTAAATTGTGCGTTTTGACGGTCAGGATTGAAGCCGG